AGTCGTCAACCACCAACAGGAAGTAGCGCTCGTAACCCTGCCCACGGACGGGGGCTGGGCCCCACACATCCATGTGAAGCGTCTGCAGGGGAGCCTCTGTCGGGGGGAAGTGGGAGGAGTGAGGAGTAGCCCGGAGGCGACCCTCGACACAGGGGACACAGGAAGGTCCTGGCCCGGAGGGGAGAGGAGGGAGAGACTGGGGAAGACCAGAGACAAGGACACGGGAAGCCATGCTCCGAAGACGGGGCAAGGAGGGGTGGCCAAGACGGTGGTGCCACAGGAGAGTCTCGTGAGACAGGAGGCGACAAGAACAGGGGGCAGACTCAGGACCTGACCGGGACGCAGCAGCAAGTACCTGACCCGACGCAGCCACCTGACCAGACGCAGGGACAGGAGGAGACTCAACGGTCAGGGTGTAGAGACTCGACCCCGGCCCACGCGAGAACGTGGCCAGGTGTCGGCCTGTGCGTGCCTCCGTGCAGTGGGTCACCCGCTGCCTCGCAGGAGTGAACTGGTGAACACCCCCATCCTGCAGGTCCGCTCCACTCACCAAGTTCGTAGAGAACGAGGGAAGGTACAGACCCGACAGGGTGCCCGAAGGGGCAGCCGGACACGGGAGGACAGTGGAGAAGTGAGACAGGACAGGACCTCCAGAGGGGTCAGCAAGGGAGACCGCAACCGGCCGGCCGAGCGGCGTAAGGGTAGTGCGGTCTCGAAAGAAGGAGCGAGAAGCTCCGTAGTCAAGTGTGAAAGTGAGGGAGGACGAGGACGACGCAGTACCTGAGAGTGCAGACGCACTGGCACCTAGAGCAGCAGCCTCACAAGCACCTAGCGCAGCAGTACCAATGCCCGGGTCGGGCTGGAAACAACGGTAACCCTCATTCTCCTCACCATAATCCACAACATACATAGCAGTAAGGATAGCATCAAAATCAAGATCAAAGATCGCTACACCAGCCCTGAGAAGCTCATCCCAGCGAGGGATCTCACTAGCCCCAGGGAACTGCTGACGCCAGGCGTCCGTCAGGCGGCCAAAGCAGCGTTGGGTGGCGTGGGCACCCCCACACTGCTCACCCGCGCGGTCGCCGGAACGAAGAACGTAGGTGCAGGGACCAGTACCCCCACCCCTCTGACGCCCAGCGTACCACTCACGAAGCTGCTGAGGCGAAGGGATGTCCCGCGAGCGCTGCTGCTGCTGCCGGTGCGAGCGCTGGCCACCACCACCGCCGCTACGCTGCTGGGTACCACCCCGACCAGCTCCACCTCCTCCACCACCACTGCCTCCTCCGCTGCCGCCTCCACCGCCTCCACCTCCGCCGCCTCCACCCCCGCCGCTGCCACCACCACCACCGCTGCCACCACCACCACCGTCTCCGCCGCTGCTGCCACCACCACCACCACCACTCCCGCCACTAGTCCCGCCGCCACCCCCACTCCCTCCGCCGCCACCGCCGCCACCGCCACCGCCCCCTCCAGCTCCACCCGCGCCCTTGCCCCCCTTGCCCTTGCTGGAGCGACGTCTCCCACTAGGGGCAGACGCCGCGCCGACCGCCTCAAGACCAAGCAGGTCGGCAGCAGCAGCAGAGGCAACAGAGGGCAGCAAGGGGGAAGGAGAGCACCCCTCAAAGATGGGGGTGCGAGGGTCACCACGAGAAGCACCTACAGCGACTATGCTCTTCTCCGCTGCAAGGAGGGCCTTCTCGAGGAGGTCGACAGTGAGGGTGGTGGGACAGACTGCGAGAAAGTGGTCCCTGACGACGCGAAGGGAGTCAGGGAGGCGCGCGACTACGTAGTAGAGAGCGATGTACATGGGGGGGGGGTTCTTAGCGCAGAACTCAGCAGGAAGGGCGGCGCGGTAGCGAGTGTCACTAGTGCGGAGATGCGTAATGAGGTCAGCGACAGTGGGAAAGGCAGAGAGGTCAGGAAAGAGGTAGGGAAGCATGAGACGGCTCAGTGCAGCAGTGGCAGGGGAGGAGTAGCGCGCAACTACAGCGTCGTACAAGGTCTGAGCACTCTTGTACTGACTAAAGTGCGCACGCTCAGAGGTAGGGAGGTGGCGACGCACAGCAAGACGTGCAGCAGCATCGCGGGTGGCCCACTTAGAGCGGACAGCGGGATCAGCATCAGCAGCAGGAGCAGGTGAGGCGCCAGAGGTGAGATCAAAGAGAGAAAGGTCGTCAGCCCTGTCGCACTGTAAGAACAGCTGCAGGTCTTCTAACCAGACCTCAAAATCAATGGCGCGACCCTCAGCGTCAAAAGCTAGGACACTAGGGGTAGCCATGGCGACGACAGCGACGCAGTGCAAGCAGCAGGGAAAGAGCTCGCAGTGTCAGTGGGACTGTGCTCACCAGGCAGGGCAGGTCGAGTGGGTATGCAGAAAGGCGGCTCAGCGACCTGGCGGCTCGGGTGCAGGGCGGCTCGGCTGCTGGGCGGCTCGGGCGCAGGGCGGCTCGGCTCCCGGGCGGCTCGGCTCCCGGGCGGCTCGGCGGCTGGGAAGCTCGGGTGCAGGGCGGCTCGGCTCCCGGGCGGCTCGGCGGCAGGGCGGCTCGGGGCCCGGGCAGCTCGTCGTCGGGCGGCTCGGCTCACGGGCGGTTCGGCTGCTGGGGCGGCTCGGCCAGGAGATCCAGGGGCGGGGCCGTCAGGTGCAGCGGCGGGTTGACCGGTGCAGTGGCGGGCCGGCAGGTGCAGCGGCGGGCCGGCAGGTGCAGGGGCGGGCCGGCAGGTGCAGTGGCGGGCCGGCAGGTGCAGTGGCGGGCCGGCAGGTGCAGGCGGCGGGCCGGCAGGTGCAGTGGCGGGCCGGCAGGTGCAGTGGCGGGCCGGCAGGTGCAGTGGCGGGCCGGCAGGTGCAGGCGGCGGGCCGTAGGGTGCAGTGGCGGGCCGGCAGGTGCAGTGGCGAGGCCGTCAGAGGCGGCGGGCCGGCAGGTGCAGCGGCGAGGCCGTCAGAGGCGGGCGGGCCGCTGGGTGCAGCGGCGGGCCGGCAGGTGCAGCGGCGGGCCGGCAGGGGAGGCGGCGGAGCCGAGTCAGGGGAGGCGGCAGGGCCGCGTCAGGGGAGGCGGCGGAGCCGCATCAGGGGAGGCGGCGGTGCCGCGTCAGGGGAGGCGGAGGAGCCGCGTCAGGGGAGGCGGCGGGGCCGCGTCAGACAGGCGGCGGGGCCGCGTCAGACAGGCGGCGGGGCCGCGTCAGACAGGCGGCGGGGCCGCGTCAGGGGAGGCGGCGGAGCCGCGTCAGGGGAGGCGGCGGGGCCGCGTCAGGAGAGGCGGCGGGGCCGCGTCAAACAGGCGGCGGGGCCGCGATCAGGAGAGGTGGCGGGGCCGCGTCTGAGGGACAGCGGGGCCGCGAGGGAAAAGGCGACCCGAGGGGTCGCTAAAAAAAAAGGGGGCGCCTCGGGGCGCGCTTCGGTGGGCCCTAAAAAACGGTCCTAAGGTAGGACCCGCTCTATACCATGTGAAATAAGTAAAACGGGAATGAGGATGACTATGGAAGATTGGGTACAAATACAACCCTAGAAACCCTGTACCCCATATGTGCTACCCCACTATAGCCTACAGTAACTATGTCATATAAATCTGACATTCAGTTCTCAGCTCTAGTTGTGAGGCTGAGATCTACGCCACAGCCATGGCTGCATAGGAGTTACGTTGGCTTACCTACCTGCTGACCGACTTGGGAGAGCGGCCTCGTTCTCCTCCAGTGCTGTACGTAGACAACAAGGCCGCAATTGCCTTGTGTCAGGAGCACAGACTGGAGCACAGAACGAAGCACATCGCCCTGCGTTACTTCCTTGCTCGAGAGTTGCAGCAGCGTGGCCAGCTTCGTCTTGCTCACGTGGCCACTTAGGCCAACACTGCTGATATACAGTATTCACCAAGGCACTTCCGCCTAGTGATCATCAGCGCTTTCAAACTGTGTTGGGCCTTGTGCCTACGTTTCCTCACTTTCTGTAGGCTCTGCCTGTACTGTGATTTATATATATATATATATATATATATATATGCATGTTTGCTCCTGGTAGGTAGAGATCAGTGTGTTGTTGTTGTTGCATATATACCCCTGCATGTGAACTGGACTTGTGGCCCTTTGCTTGTGCTCAGTGTGTGTGGTGACGTTGTGATCCACCCTGAGCTTGCTTTGCTTCTCTTGACTGGTCTTGTGACCCCTTGCTCTCCCCCACTTTGTTTATGGAGGTGTGTCAAAGTATATGCATGTCATATATGTGTAGGCTGTAGTGGGGTAGCCAATATGGAGTACAACCCCATTAGGGTTTCATATTTGTACCAAACCCTGATCTAGTCAATTCATTCCTGCTACTGCATTCTGACAACAGCAACGACTCGGGCAACTGCTCAATACCGAGTCAGTTGTGTGTCCTTGCTGTCGTGCTGCATTTCGTCAAGTCAAAGGTTGGCGACCTTTGACCTTTGCGTAACCTCCAGATGTTACGTTTTGTCAATCTCCTTGGTTGACTCGCTGTTGCTTCACTAAAACGTGCCTCGTTTGCAGATCGATGTTCCGACACATCAGAAGCGTTAGATTACTTGTTTCCAACAGTGGGGTACTGTTTAGGGGAAACAACCCTTGAACAGTAAGCCACCCCATAACAAGTATACTTAATGTATATAAATATGTTCGAATCAAACACACCCCTAAACTCCCTGCAGTGAAAACCGTGAGCAGAACTCCACATGAAGTAACAATATTTGTATGGCTGATCAATGTTCCTCCTAACTCGGTTGGGTTCAAAATGTAACATACCCACACTCCAGTACCCAAGGGCCTAGCAATAAAATCAGAATATTCCAGTACCAACCACCATATTGATTCAGCAAGGACCAAATAAATGCTAGCAAGAATCTTCAATCTTAATGAAGACATCAGCACACCATGGTCCCACAAGGTGGTCCAACTCTGCCTCAGCCTGCTGCACCAAATCCCACCACATTCCACCCCGCCATCCACTCCACCCTACCACCCTTCCCTCGTGCCATTCATCACTCGAACGCTCAGACCCTCTCTGCTCCATTGGCAATAAGCGGCTCCCTGAGGGAATCTGTTGGCTCTGCAGCCGCACCAGAAGCAGTGCGGGCCTGCACAGGAATGAGCTTCACCACGGCTGCCACAGGCAGGCCAATGGCGCCCAGCCCCACGCATAGCAGCCAGTCGTGCAGTGAGAGCGGGACCGTGGAGGCGAGCTTGCCGAGGACCTGCACGAGCACGGCCTGGAAGAACACGGTGACGAGCATGATGGCCACAAATACATAGTTGGACAGGATGCCTGAAAACACATCCAGTGCCTCCATGTTGCGCGAGTTGATCTCGTTGAACACCTGCACAGGGCATGCCGTGGGGGGGGGGGGGGGGGGGGGGGAAGAGACGTGAGCATGGAATACACGAGCAGAGCTGGCATGTTCCCTGGCAGAAGCAACAACGCAAGAAAAGCATTCGAGGCTGGGATGGAATGCATCACCTGGCAGAAGACAAAGGTGTTGAAGATGATGGTGTTGAGGCGCAGCACACCCCCCTCATCCAACGCACTGAACCCAAACATCTTATCACCATAAACCTGCAGCGCTGCCATGAGCGCCAGCTGGAACACCGACTGGCCGAAGATGTTGCGCCACATGATGCTGCTGATGAAGGGAGTGCGGCGGCCCACAGGGGGCTTGAGCATGAGGGCGTCCGTGGGCGGCTCCGTGGCAAGGGCCAGCGCTCCCAGCGTGTCCATAATGAGGTTCACCCACAGCAGCTGCACCGCTGTCAGTGGGGCCGACCCTGCACTCAGGCATGGGAGCATGGCGGGGGAGGGGGAAAGAGGAGAAAGGGAGCAATGGAGGAAAGGCGGGACGGATGAGTGGGAGCAGGAGACCACAATCCAAGAAGGGGCAGGAAACACAAAAGGCAAGGACACAAAAGTGGGGCGGAATTGCGGAAGGAAAGCTATAAGATGGCTGGAAGGTATCGTTGAGCATGCAGACCTGTGATGCAGGCTGAAACAAAGTTGGTGACGAGTGCCACGATGTTGACAGTGAGCTGGAACTGCACAAACTTCTGGATGTTGGTGTACACACTGCGCCCCCACTTAGCGACATTGACAATGGAGGAGAAGTTATCGTCCATGATGATCACATCCGCACTCTCCTTCGCCACCTGCACTCACCGTCAGTGCGCGTGCGTGGGGCAAGTACAAGGAAGCGGAACATCCATGCTGATTAAGAGGTACATCTCAGACACAGAGGAACCACCAGTAAAGCCATGGTGCACATATTGCCAAGGAAGTTCAGATGTCATACATGTTGATATTTGGAGGTTGCATGCCCAGCCAATGCAGGTCCATTATTTCCCTACTTAAAACACTCGCTTTTGCAAAACGAAGGGGAGGATCGGGGACGGCGGTTTGGGAAGGGGAGGAAGGAAGAGCGGGGGATGGTCAAGGAAGGAGGGGAGAGGTGGAGCAAGGAAATAAAAAGGTGCCCCTGCCGACAGCCCCTTGACCCAGCACCTCGGTGCCGGCAATGCCCATGGCGAGCCCAATGTCAGCCTCCTTGAGTGCGGGCGCGTCGTTGGTGCCGTCGCCCGTGACGGCCACCACCTCGCCCATCTCCCTCAGGCAGTTCACCATCGTGTGCTTGTCCGTGGGGGACGACCGCGCCATCACCTGCTCCCATGCCCATGCACCCATGAGGTAACGGGAGGGGGAGGGGCAGGCAAGGGGAGAGAGGGAGGAATGGGGGAGAAGGACGAACAGGGATGGCGGTGAGTGAGAAATGGGGACAAGAGGCAGGCAGAAGAGCATGGCGGAATGGGGAGTAAGGGAGTGGCAGGTGGTTGCAGGGCGGATGAGGAGAGGTCATGGACCTGCAGGCGCGGCAGCAGCTCCTTCATCTGGGCGCGAGTGAGCGTGCGGAACTTGGGGCCCTCAATGGCCTCGCCGCCCTCCGTGAGGATGCCGCACTCACGAGCAATGGCCATGCCCGTGTTCAGGTTGTCCCCCGTCACCATGCGCACCTGGTGCCATGGCAACCACATGCATGCACACACAGGACCCCATGCCCACATATACCCCATGCCCACATATACCCCATGCTCACACATGCTCCATTTGCACCATCGCGCACCACATATCCAGCAGTACATCGAGGGGCAAACGCAACAATCAGGGAGGAAAGGGTCATGGTGGTCCAATACTGAAAAGGAGGGTCAAGGCACAATAACAGAATGGGGCACAGCTGGGTGAATCAACGACACAGAAAAGGAGGGATGCGTGGGGCAGCACTTGGTGCTCACCTTGATGCCGGCTGTTTTGCACAGGCGCACTGCCTCCGCCACACCCGCCCTGAGAGGGTCCTTGATGCCCACCACGCCCAGCAGCGTGAGCCCGCTGTCGGGCACGGGCGTTTCATCCGTCCACACACCGTTGGCAGGCACCTCCGAGGGCTTGAGGTCGCGGTACGCCAGGGAGAGCGTGCGCAGGGCGCTGTTGGCGAAGCTCAGGATCGTGGCGTC